TGCATAATTCGTTTAAAAATTGTACTTAGTTACTTTATTTTAAAACAGGTTAAATCATGTATTTTTACGATAATGGATAAAAATTATCTCGAGTTATGGTGTGTTCTAGGCGTTTTTATTATATCGTAACCCTTTTATTAAAGGAGTTTTGTTGTGCATAACTGTCCCGAAGCACATATTGAACGCAAGAAGACCTATAAGTTTAATACGGACTTACGGATACGATAACTGCCCGGAGGTGCCATTAAAGCGTAAAAGATATTGAGAGTACTTCGGGATAGTTTACCATCACCCCAGGAATACCGACGATAAAATTTTGTTCTTGCGATACATTTACATTTATAGATAAAAGTAATATATTGTATACAGTAAATATAGATTGACTTTAAAATGCGGCAGTAGAGTCTGCAACATATTTGACGATAACCGTTCAACAAGGGGGCAGTCGAGTAGCAATGTTGACGGAGAAAATACACAGCCACAATTTTTTTATTTTTTATTTTTTATTTTCACAAGCCGTAAGTAGTACATATGTCGTTTTTTTGGAATAAAGAAGAATCAGAAAAGTCGGAAACGCATTTCAATTGCAAACTTATATCTGGGCCTAGAATTAAGTCATTGAAATTTCGAAATATCCTAATTTCAAAACCAAATTAGATCCAATCAAATAGTAGAACACTCGTTCTAATTACGTGTTTGAACCAATCGAGTTTTCATAAGTTGTGCGCGCGCAACTTCCGTTGCATGTAAGGTTCTACGTTGATTATTAATTGCCTGATTTAGGAATAGGGTTTGACTTATTGAAGCAATTATGAGACCAGATTCGTTGACGACCAGTAAAATTAAACTCGGATGTTTTTGCGAAAGCTATTCAGCTTTTTAAGGTGTTATGAGAGTGAATGTGAGGTTTTATGTATGTTGTATTTGTTTCGTAATTATTAGAACATTATGTAGGGTGACGGATAGTAATTGCAGATTACCTATATCTATTTGAATAATTCTAATATCTGGTAATTAGCAGCGGGAGATAAGATTAACAAATTTGCCGTATATACATTCAGATCACTGAGGTCCATGTTTTACGGTAGACTATTTAATTTGAATTGTAAATTCTATTAAATTTCAAGGATACGAGCGAGAAGGCGGCGAGAACCTACATCGCTGTCGCTGTACGTGGCACGTAATTCGTTTGTTCGCTTTTCGAGCTTACGTCACCTCCTTATTGTGTCTCACTCAGTAATTGTGAGAGAACTGGAGATAGCTCCTTTTTATTCTCGTTTCTAACCACTCAATTTGTTTGAGACCCGTTAGAAAATTAGCCGTATTTATAGTGTTCGGTAAGCAGTAAGTTGTACACTGGACTGTGTTTTAAGAAAAACCAATAAGTACACACACACACACAAAATTCGGGCGCATTTTATTTGCCTTTACAGTAAGTGAACGTCTTGTAAAACACTTATTTGACTGAAATAATAAAACAATCCTATAACGTATAATGTGCTGGTCAGTTTTTTTTTTGTATTTGTATTCCGAATGACTAATAACTTGAGTGCGTAGTATAGTCTCACAGATTTCTTTTGAAATGTATAAGAATGTGAGTGTCTGCTCTTTTGAGAAACCACATGTTCTTTGAGTGCACCGACTCAAAATTTTATATCCATAAATGAAAGTATGCTTGCACTAGTGCTACTGTAAAAACTAGGCTAGTCCTAACTTCGTAAAAGGCGATCTATTAACCTACCCTACCATGGCATTTAAGTATATAAAGTTGATCCTTTGCTAACTTAAAGTCTGGTATTAGAGATACTCCTATTTTTGAAAGAAGCACTTAGTAATGTGAGCACACACTCCCATTTACTCATGCAATATTCTGAGTCGCCACTCTCAAGGAGCGAGAGATTCTCAAGATGTACTTGAGATTCTACGAACATTTTTATGCATTTCAAATGAAGTTCATGACGTCTTAGGATTTACTAAAATGTAGTGGCAAAAGTTGCAAACACATTCTTACAACAATTATAGAAGCGCTGTACCTATGGGTCGGAGATCATCATGGTATAACAAGTGACGTTACATGTACCATCATTATTATTATGATATTCGAACTTGATGACTGCGGTCTCGATCTTTCTCATTTTTAAGTGAGCCGAACACCGATAGAGTCGTTTATCTAGCGTTTCGCTAACAGCTGTGGTTGACATCTTCAGGGACAGTAACCGTACTTTTACTAAGACTGTTTTCATAGCGAAAAACTCTCACAGTCAGTACAACTGCTGCAAAAGACTTCACGCACCCGTTACTTCCTGAGCATACGAAGAAGTACACTTCTTTGACGAAACGCAAAGAAAGTTATGCGTTAGATTTTAGTGTATTCTATGTAATGGTACGTACGTAGTATTTTGCTGAATAATATTATTCGTCACATATTTTATGGAGAATATTAAATGGATTAAAATATCTGTATAATATACACATCCAAGTGCATATAAACACAAAGCACCCCATAGGGGCATAAATATAGGTAGAATATCGCTCATACTTATACATAAATGTCTATATTATGTACAAATATCTGCATTCACGTCCCCGGTGAGTGTGTGGCCTCCAATTCTGCCCGAAGCATACTGGCCTGACGCTGGAAGCTGGCGGAAATTTTAAAATGGCGTGGATGCGAGGTGGCAAAAGTAGGCAGTTTTAGGTATAATGATTGCAGCCCTCTTTCTTCAGTATTCCTATCAGGGGCATAGATTAAATATTTCAAAATAGGGATCAGTGAGCAAGTAATAGACAGACAAACAGAAGAACTAATTGTTCATGTTGGTGACAGTGATAGAGATTCCCATGATGACAGTGAATGTGAAAACTAACTATAAAACAAAAGCAATAGGTTAATTTTTTCTTTTTGATAAGTCATGTTTTTACACTATTTTCTAGTACGCTACTGTCCTATCTGTATTAATACTATAATTTACGCCTACTTAAAGCTTATTTGTGTATCGGTTCCAAGTGACTTACCCAAATAGGTCATAAATGGGCAAGTACCTGCGCGACCGCTCGCCAGCTTCGTTCGTCAGACCTGTACTTTCATGTACGATCTCGAAAATCAAATGTGAAATGTATTTTCACAGAATTAAGATGCTATGATGAAATGTGGAATATGCTGAGATCAAAAGGTTCTTTGAAAAGATAAACCCCACCCATAGCATCTACAAACATTAAAACAGTTTTTTATTGTTTTTTGGTGAACATTATGCATGTGCTAAAAAATTTATTAAAATTAATTGTAGAACGATATGTTTTTTTGATGCTTTATTTATTAAATTTTTGTTTTTAAGTGGTTATTTCATCTGTAACTCTTCTTAAAAGTTTGTGTTTCGTTCAGAATGTCTAACAAAACAAGGACTTCTTAATTAAAGCAGCTGTGGGCAATTTATTTTTTGGCACTAATTCAAGAAGTAAACAGATTTGTCTCGAATACTTCTCACAACTTGAGTAGATATAGGAAATGTCATGTTTCAGACGTTTGTAGTGTTCCAAACCCTTGAAACAAATCGGTAATCTGTTTTAGTGGAATCTCGAACAGATAGGGTTGAATTTTGAATGAACAAAGTTGTGGAAGTGGGTATGCGACTTTGACTAATTAAATTCAATTCCTCTACTCCAAAGTTTAATGTGGAGGTAAATATTTTACTTTATGCTACTCAGTATGTGCATATATTGACTCGAAACACCTGACCTTCGGATTGTGGACTCTTTATTATTACTCCTAAAATTCATGTTTTTTACTTATTATTCATTCATAATTCACAGAATAGTGTTGTGCTGGTAAGGTACAATTTTCTGTTTATCGGTATTATATCGTTATGTTAATTAATTGACATTTCAAAAGGATCACCATTAATGTCGCCCTAGAAAAGAGCATGGCATAGTACTTTATAATATAAGCTTTAAATTTAATAGTTGAAATTGGGATGTAAATTAAACACTCAATTTTCATGGTAATTACCAACAAAAAGAAGGACATTACCACGACAACACTCATGTTGTCTTTTCCTACCTTAACCTTATGATCCTAAGCATATCAGTCAAAAAAAAAATCGGAGATCTTCCGGGGCAGAATCATCGCACCCTCAATTTCTATCATCAAATGATCGATTTCGATTCTAGTACTCGAAAAATGCAGACAACAGGAAACGTTTGTAAAAGTAAAATTTAGGGGGATAAGATTAGCTAACACGTTTCTGATCTATTGCCATTTCTGATTGTAAACTGTAGTCCATCATCATCATAAGGTCGTCAGTCCTAAGTTGGACACGCACCTCTATTCCACTCCATTCATTTCCCCAAAACTGAAACAACCCACATTCTTAACTATTTGCGAACAGTAATTTCTCCTAAAGTAAAAACTCCTATTTCTGCCTCTAATATATCTCTGACTAGACCTTCATGCCTGAGAAGGTGTTCTACCAACCTATCTCTCTTTTTTTCTTATTGACTTCCATAGAGTTCTCTATTCTCCTATTTTTACTAATACCTCATCATTTGTAACCTTCTCTATCGACGGTATCCTCATCATTCGCCTATAACACCACATTGCCAACGCTTCTAACCTTTTCTTTTCCGCCGCGCCCACTGTCCAAGTTTCGCACCCGTACAGCACCGTACTCCAAACATACACCTTTAACAACCTTTTTCGAATTTCTAAATTAACCGTTCGCGAGCATAGAAGTGACTTCTTTTTATTGAAGGCGCCTCGACCTTCGCTATCCTCTGCTTTATATCCCTACTACTTCTTCCGTCCTGACTTATCTGACATCCTAGATATCTAAAATGAGTCACTTCTCCTAATTTTTTGTCTCCTTGTTCACGTAAAGTGGTATTGGATTAAAAAATTCGCCGAGTACCGGATCCAAATTGAGTACCCGGTCCATTTCTAGTTTGAATGCATTGTTTTCTATTATATATATTAGTATAATATTTTGTTTTTCTTTTTTTTTCAGGCTATAAGTACGAACAGTCGTAGCAAGACACGGGGCTCGCTTGATTCGGACCAACAACATGCGTTAGCTTCTGACAGAAAACAGCCGCTTAGCTTCGCAACCTGCTTTTCCGCTAACTGACCACTGTCAGACTCTAGGAGCACTTGTTGCTAGTCCTCTCGCCTGTACCACGACCAACAAAACAATTAAACCAACCAACCCCTATTACTGTTGAACTTTATAAGTACTACTACCTACGTATTGCAACGGTGATCTCGTTTAGTTCCATTCACTAGTACATACACACATACACACAAACACACGCATATTTTGTGCCATAATATTAGCGCTTATATACCAATATCGAACTCTCTTCCCCTCCAAATAACAGTAATCGCCACTGCTCCTTCAATTTCAACTGTAAAACTACCGACAGTCTCACGAATAAAATAAAAAAGGATGGACAATAATTCTACCTGATCGTAGCGCCGCATAATCCTATTATTCTAAAATCCAAAGTTCGTGCTGCTCTCCGTAAAAGAAAATTCAGTATTTGAAACTAACTGTATATTCGTAGGATATTTGTTATTGCATTTTGCGCATCGCGTGCATCGTGCAGTAGTAGTATTACTGTTGTTGTTGTTGCCAGTGATTCGTGTGTCCAATCAAATATAAATATTATCGCGCGTAGTAAATCGCACTTTAAATAAATAAAAATGGCGACTATGGTTAACATGAACAACCTTTTGAATGGCAAAGACAGCCGATGGCTCCAACTGGAAGTCTGCAGAGAGTTCCAGAGGAACAAGTGCTCTAGACCAGACACAGAATGCAAGTTCGCCCATCCTCCAGCCAACGTCGAGGTCCAAAACGGTCGAGTCACAGCTTGCTACGATAGTATTAAGGTGAGTGTTATGTTCTTTAGCCAGTTATTGTTTTTTTTTTCTGTTCTCTGTTCGCCGAGTAGCCTTGATAAATAAATGCGATTTTTTTTGTTGGTGAATTCTCTCAAAATCGACGACTCATCGTCGATAATAAAACTCGGAATACAATACCCAGTTAATGTTCTGCGACATTGAAGTATCAACTCTCGACACCAATTTGTACCAGGCTATTATTGTTTTCGTAAGTGTTCGGCCATTGTTTAAAACTGCCTACCGCTTTTACGAACTCACTTACCTCTCAAAAGTAAATCATTTACAACGAGCTCGTACTTTGATGATGTTATACACAAGCGAGCACAGTTTCATTCGTAATGAACAGTTTTAAAAAAAAATCTAGTGAAACCGTTTAATTCATTAGTTACTTAAATTACCTTTATGATATTTCATTGTAAACCGAGTGGCGTGGTTTAGAGGTCTATATCATCTATTAGCATTCGGGAAAACACCGGTTCTATTCTGGTCCGCCTTCCTCTAGAGTTACTTAGCTCTTTACTTTTCATCTGTTTTCATTTCGTCCGTTTTTCTCTCCCTAACCATCATCCACCCATTCCTACGGGTCCTTTTAAAGAAGGCTAAATAAAGCCTGTCGTACTATCCTCTAGCTTTGCTAGAGTGTATAAGGGACTGCTCGCCCATCAGCATCAGTAACTAGTGGAAATAAAACAAGCAAAAGTTGTAAAGTAACCACTATGCATCACATAACAGTGAATAAAATCATAGAGAATGACTATAATAGACCTACGCCAACAATTCTAACGCGACCACTACCTATACATGTGCTTTTCGGAAAAAGCTCCCCGAATGAGTAAAATCTCCAATTTGTACGTAGTCTGTAGCAAAAAAAAAGGCTAAAACATTACTTACCTTTGCATGTTTCAAATAATGTTCTTTTACATAATGAATATAACAAAAAGCATGCATTTGAAATGTTTATGAACACCAAGAGGATCTTTTCAGCCTATACCCCTGGGTCTTTGTTATTATTTCAGATGGTTTACCGAATCCTTTTTGTGAGTTCCATCTGTAGCTATAATTAGACTCACTTGTAAAAATAACAGCGAAATTATTATTTTATAAAGGCAGTTGTCACATAAATTCTGATATTAAATTTACATAAATGCGAAATTAAATTGAAAAGTAGGAATATACAGAAACGAGAAACAAATAAAAGAATACATTAGTAATATATTGTAATTCCCAAATGAAGTGTTGAGCTCAAAAACATTTAGGTTAATTGACCGTTAAAAAGATCACTTTGTCTTTGTTAACCCAAAAATAAATTGAATTTGGTTTCTTTCCTAAATATACAGTGATAAAGTAAACTGATGTACTTTGGCTTTTTAGTAAAGTTATTGTACGTTGCGTAGGCATGTTAGACGATTCGGAGGTTTACCCGTTTACAACAGCTGTGCCCTTTAAATTTTAGGCATAACCGACTATGTTTAGAACGCAGGTGTGCGAGCCAAAAATTTTGAGCAGCAAAGTTTCAAATTTGAGCGTATTTATATGCAGTAGACTGTTTTACATTACACGTATAAGATTACTACCTACGGCCTGTTGTAAAATCAGCAAACCGTTTTAGCTTGATAGTCTCCTTAGTGAGAGAGGATGAAATTTTCTTTATTATTCCTAAGGAACCACGGCATTTTCGTATCAAATGATACACTTTCACGAATTTTGTCTACTTATGCTAATTAAGTAGAAAGAAAAGTTAAAAGGAAACAAAATTGTTGATAGGAAGTATTATCACCTATTTTCTCTAGTCAAAATTTGGATAAGTTTAGGCTGTTATTTTGGTAAGGGATTTTCTGATTGACATATATGGTGCTTTATTTACGTCAAGAGTTCACGTTAGGTTATGGTGGGAAATGTTTTCCTGATTGGTATATGGTAAATATATCAGTAGAGAGTTAAGAACCGAAACGTAGGGATATTCAGCTACAAATACGGCATCATCCTTAAAAAAATACGACGTGATATAGGAAAATTCATACAAACAACATCGTTTCTTGTCTACACTAATAATATACTTACAGAGTTAAAGTTTGTAAGTATGCAGGTTTAGATGCAGAATGATTCTTCAGGGTACCGAGCGGCATGGCCTAGAAGTTTAGACCATTGCTTAGCATTCGGGAGGACGCCGATTCGATTCCGGGTCCGTCCGTCTGCCTTGGTCCAAGTTTTTCTGTGGTTTCCTTGGATCACTTAGATAAATGCTGAGGCAGTAATATTTCACAGATAATCTTTCATTCTCTTCTGTCTTCATTTCGTCAGCCTCATCTTTCTCACCCGAACCACCACCCACCTATTCCCACGATTCCTGAAAGCAGGCTGAAGAGGGCCTTCCATCCTACCTTCCGGCGTAATTCGGAGGGACTGCCCGCCCACCAGCAATACTGGCTGGTGGAAATGAAACACCCAAAAGTTTTTTTTTTCTTCAGGGTGATCAAAGATTCACAGATTGTATGTCTCGTGCGATATAAAAAGGAAGAATGCCGATAAATAAATGTGGAAATTTTATGTTCGGAGAATATTTTGCATTGCACCATCCATAACGGTACCCTTCCGTCCAACTTTCCACGGATTCAACTTAGTTATTAATTAATTTATTGTCTGGAAGAAAGTTACATTTATGACGCCGTATTTGGCGGTAAATATTCAGAGAGAAAGCAGTTTCGGCTTTGGCATGATACAGATTACATAAGTCAAGATTATGTGCAATTTTGAGAAGACAAGTTGTCCAACCCTTTTATGCCCATTTGAAACAAGAACTGGCGTGGCATAGCACGGCAGAGGTAGATGGTGTTCGTGTAAAAATATATCTGCGGGCCGTCACGGTTAGCAACGATGCCGCCTCGCCGATCGGTATCTCAAAATACATTTGTTGGGGGGCTGAAGGGGGGAATCGAAGAGGAGAAATATAACAGGTTTCACAAAGTTGTTTTCGCGACGCGAATAAAACGTTTTCTTCGCCCACTATATTTATAAAATACGATGCAATGCATGTAGCGTTTGGACGTGCAGCTCCCGAGACCGAACAAATGCTCGTTCATGAGTGATCGTTCCACGAGCCTTTCGACCGAAAAGAAAACGCCGGTGCTGGAACCCGAGAGTACTGTTGCCATACGTGCTTATTTTCGCGAAACGTTCTAGATTTCAGAAGCTAATGATTCATCTCGTTGATATGTAACCCAATAACATTTACAATTATGCAAAATTTACCATCTCTCAGCAATAATCTATTAATTGTGAATTGACTTGGATGTTCCTGGGCAGGATAAATTTCGTATTAATATTAAATGGTCATAGTAAAAACCTAATAAGCTTTAATATATAAACATATTATAATTAAATGACGGAATAAATACCTCAAGAGAAAACCAAATTGTGGCAGTTTAAGAAGCTCTGTGAATTTGACCACCTCCAAATGCGAATTTTTAAACGGAATTGGCATGGTTCTTTTGTCCAAAATGAGCCATAATAGCCAATTTTTTTCCTTTATTCCACCCTTGAGTCAAAATTTATAACAAAAAATTTGAGAACCACTGAAAATAAAAATTAGTAAAATTCGATGTTTCTATAATCTTGGTTTCACAGTATTAGAATTGTCAAAATCTACTGATAATTTGATTTTAGACAGACTCTTTTATAATTACGTACACGGTATTTAAACAGAAGATTTGTATTCTGGTATAAAATGTTAATTACCACTTATTTTAATACTTCAGAATACAAACCTGATAATTCTTGTAAGTTTCCACTCATAAGAGTTGGACTAACATTGGGATAATCGAATGGTAGTAATAAAGCAGAGATTTTCACATTATACTTGATTGTTTTTTTTTATGGCAAAAGGAATATTTTTCTAAGCAAAGAATGGGCTAACCAAGAAAAACCTAGGCTATCCAGGACTAGCCTAGCTAATCGAATAATAGTTTTAATGGCAGTGTAAAAACAGCGAATTTGACAAATTTTTATTTTCAGTGGTTCTGAACTTCAAATTTTTTTTTTGTTATAAATTTTAACCTAAGGGTGGGCTAACAATAGAAAATGTTACACTATCCTGGGCTAAACTTGGGCAAACGAGCCATCCCAATTTCATTTAATAATTTGCATTTGGGGGTTCCAACTTCACAGAACTAGTTTAAGGGTGTTGAATTGTTTAGCGTGCGTCATTGAAATATTTGTGTTATATATTAAACAAAAACGCCAGAATTTAATTTAACAATCATATGCGAAGTTTATAATGTGTTAGCATTAATTAGAAACGATATGTAGGTACACCTTCATCCCATATACACAAAATAAAAGTTGGACATGAAAATTTGAAACGTGTTCAACCCTTTAAATCCTCTTATTTTATTTAGGTAGGCACACACACATTTCCCGTATGAATATACAGACAGCTCCCCCAGGAGCTTACATTTGAACTGAATGAAGTATTACTTGCGGAAAATAGAATTAATTTTTGAAGCACGAAAAAGTTTTACTGTTGAAATTTAAGTTTCGAAGGGGATTTTCGAGATGTCTAATGGTCACGGATTCCGTTGTCGTAAACGGGAAAACGTTTCGTGCTATCTGAATGCGGTATGGCGA